TCAGGGGCTTTCATCTTACATCTGCCTACGTGCAGTCTGGAGGTGCAAGATGCCTGAGCGTGTAATGTTAATTTTACCTGTGATCCGTTGAATAAATCAGCACTGTTTTGAAGTTACTTGGACTGTCTCGTCTCTCAGAGTTAGCAATGGTAACAAGAACCATATCCTACACTAGAATGGTGCCTTTGTTTTCCGCTGAACAGCTGATGGGACAGCAACATCAATCCACCTATGGGTGCACATGAACATCTGTTTTGTAGGAGTCAGAGTTAAGTGTTCCTGCCTGCTGAGATGCAGAGTTGACCAGTGCTACGCTCAGAGCAAGAAACTTATCGGTGTCCATGATGATAGAATAAAGAATTGGCATTTTTTTGCCTGGTGGTAACTCCTTGTATGAAGATAAGATTAAACTAATCTGACTCATGAAAGGCAATATACGAAACATGGCCCCTGTAGACTTATTAATTTAAACCCATCAGTGCTGACTATAGTGTAATCATGGTGGTATGTGGAGCTGCTATTGTCAGGTCATCAGTCAGCCATTTATCAACACAAGAAAACAGGCAGCTGGAGATGGGCTTTGTTCCTGCCCTCTTTTAAGTGGCGGGAAATGATTCAGGGTGTAAGGGGGGTGGGTCAGGGTGAAGACAGTAGATGTGGAGATCTGTTGTCCCCCTTCCTGCTTTTAATGGGATGTTTTCTTTCCAGATTTTTCCTTCCCTGTCTCCATGCCACTCTTTTGTGCTCTCATTTCTATTATCTTGATAACATCTTATCTGTGTATCTGCAGGTCTTGAAAGGTTTTCAGCATGAGATATGGTTTCTTCAAAAAAGACCTTTATAAGTTATTAAAAAGTCTTGAATGTCGATCACAAAAGTCTAATATTTTCTCTTGCCTGCCACAGGCATTAATGTTAGTTATAAAATGGTTTTTCAACTCACTGCACACTGTCAGTTATTGTGACAGTTGACTGTGTTTCCCCAGAAAATAAACTTCTAGGTAATGTTTATACAGGTTGGTTTGAGGAATTAGTTTGGCCTCTATGACTCATTGTCTAGTAGAGCATTGGGATCCTCTCAGTATTACCTAGGTCTGCTGTGTATGCCTGGTTTGTCCCTGAATTCCCAAAAGCCTCTCTGTCCTTTTGGAAGTGACAATGTGACGTATGTATTTAGCCACAGCCTGTGTTTCCTAAAATGAGCTGAGAAGTGTTAAATCTGAGTTTTATTTATTTTTGCTGTCAGTAGGATTTCATTTGGCAGTGGCACTAGTGTAAATATGAAGGCCTCTGTGAGACAGCCTGTGGTGGAAAGTTGTGAAATATACTGGACAAAAATATAAATGCAACATGCAAGATTTCTTACATTTATAGACATGAGAAATCACAATGTAAGTCAGAAGCTTCACAGTATCTTCATCATTTAATGAACTATCAGCTGACAAAACTTGTCCAGGAAGGTTTCATCTGGAGCTCATCTACAGACAGTTGAAGAACATGGCCAAATGTTATATCAGTGGTTAACAAGGTTAATATTTTTGTTCAGTGTATTTAGGCAGCAGTGCATTTGCTGCCAGGGTGACTGGCTGCAAATACTAACAGCAGTCAGATCAAAAGGAGACCTACAAAATCTGATATGTGCAGATTAGTAGTTGTCAATGTTGTCACAACCACAGAACAAAGTGACTGGAACTTGTGCTTGCTTAATCTATACAGTGTACATTCTGAAATTTGAGTGCACTGCAGAATGCCAAGAATTTGCAGAATGCCAAGTTACATACAGATGGCTGCCTCGGTTCTCTACCGAAGACAAATTCCATGTGTGTGTAACATGCTCGGCCAATTAAAGTGACTATTATTATTATTGTATATCTGAATCTAGGAAAGCTGTTGACGTCAAGCGCAAAAACTCTTGGTATAGTTGTAGCAAATTTTCTGATAAATACTATGTGGAATAGGATACGTCACCACAGATGGTTTAAATAGACGTACCTTCCCATTACTTCCATTTACTCTGGTTGATTCCTAGAATGGGATTTGAGTGTAATATAGGGCAGAGAAAATGCTGTGACTTTGATGAGTGTTTTGGCTTCCATAAGCGCTGGGAATGACCTTGAGGAAACGGTTTTGTGTGTCAGCCTGGGAATAAAGACAACCCTTTTGGAGACAAGAAGATTTTGCTCTTGTTCTTTTCTTTTTACATTTAGTTCTGTGGTCAGGATGTAGGCCATTAGGGTTGTACCCGACTAAGGATTTTGTCAGTCGACTCTTCAGTGTGATTATTCGACTATTTGTTCCTTTTCTTTCTATTTTTAAAGAAAAAAAAAGATATATATGTTGTCCTTGGCTGGGCTGAAAACATGGTGTTACCGGCCATTTTTTCTCACCTGCTAGCAGTAAGCTTCACTGGGACAGCGAAGTGCGCTGGAGGTCAGTGCCATCATCGCCCAGTTCCACCCCACACTGTGCAGGGCAACCAGTTAGTTGTCCAGTAAAAGGAACAGGAGTGGGAGTTTTAGCTCACATGTTTGTATACATGAATTTGATTTTAACAGCTTCTGTAGCCTAATAATAATTGTGTGGACTTTGTTTTTATAAATGTTTGTGTTTTGAGCAGAGGCGGGGTTGAGTTCAGTAATGTTTTGATCAATGGCAGATGTTGCAGAATGCACAGTGGACTGTGTTGTAACAAGAAGCCTGAAGCAGGGAATTTAAACTTACATTGCAAGAGGGGAAAACCATCAGTGTTGTGCAGACTAGGATGTACAGGTCGCATAGTTAAACCTTTGGGCAAAGCAGTGATCACAGTCATAAGATGGTAAGCAGACAAATTTTTATTTGGCATGTTTTGAACGATTTTGCTTCACCTTGACATAGAGGAGGAACAAAACAAAATTACTGTGATGCCTGTTAAATCTTTTTCCATTTGCTGAGCGTTGGAGCTGAACGTCGCTGAGAGACTAACCAGTTAACCTGTCAGAATGAAGCCAAGTTGGGGTTCTGTCCCACTTGACTGAATGCAAAGTGCCTGTGTGAGTGTGTATGTGTGGTGGCACCATATCAACAAGCAGATAACTCCTGCCAGCTGGCGCCTTTTGTTGACACTGAGAGAGGCATGAATGCAAAGATCTGGGACAAGTCAGTGTGGCTCATAGTGGTATCTGTAATGTCGCTGGTTGTTGGAAGGTTTGGCTTGTCTGGATTGTCCTGTGGATTTTGACTGTGTCAGAGGGGTGTCGAACACTAACCTTGTTGTTTATTAAAAAAAACTGAGTGAGGCATTGTCAGGACAAGTTTATATGAGAACATAGTTAAGGTCCTTGTTCATGTAGCATCATCTGACCGCACTGGAAAGTGTTGACTTTTTATGAATGATCACACTTGACGGTGAATATGGTGACAATGGTGCACATTTTCAGATCGTCTCGCCTGAAGATATTCATAGTGTTGCATGCTTTATACGAGAAATCAAAATAGTTGTGTAACAAAAAAGGAACCAGAGAGAGGAATTCAGTCCTTGCTCCCTTCTCACCACTGCTCGGTTGGAACAGACACTTCTTCTGAAGACTCATTGCAAGTTTTCTTTTCATCTGGGGATAAAACCCATGAAATTAATGCTTAAAATTTCAAACCAAGCTCTTAGAGTCAGTAGTTCAGTCACCTAATTGATTAACAGATTTTTTAAAATAATCTCTGTTCTGTGTAGGAACTGTTAGGATACCGTCATTTGCGTTTATACCTACAGTATATTCTTTTGAGACCAGTACTCAGGTTGGCATATGAGATTTTGAAAAATATGAAAAGTATATGTCCACTAAGATTCATTTTTACATAAATAGCACTTTGACATATACTAGCACTATTTGTCAGTGCTAGTTGTACTCCATACTGTTGTGTGTACATACTGTTGTGTGTCAGTGCTAGTTGTACTCCATACTGTTGTGTGTACATACTGTTGTGTGTCAGTGCTAGTTGTACTCCATACTGTTGTGTGTACATACTGTTGTGTGTCAGTGCTAGTTGTACTCCATACTGTTGTGTGTACATACTGTTGTGTGTCAGTGCTAGTTGTACTCCATACTGTTGTGTGTACATACTGTTGTGTGTCAGTGCTAGTTGTACTCCATACTGTTGTGTGTACATTATTATCTACTGGTCAAACTGTATACTTACATAATAATGGTCAAGATATTGGCCGTGCCATTTTATGTTAGGTTGTAGTTTGTATTCACATGGTATATGCCCGATCTCATACACAAGCACATGCAGACTTGCTGTTATTCAGCAAGTACAGTCTCGTGTCTGTTGGACTTTTGTCCCTTCTGACATGCCATTCAGACCTTTCACACAGACAGCTGTTTCTCAAAGCCGGATTCTGCCCAGTCAGTTAAATATAGTTTCGAAGCATGGCACTCAACAGGCTATAGTGTTTATGGCCTCCTTCATATAGAGCAACCTCTGTCCTTGCTGAGAATATACTTAATGACCAGCCATGTGATTCATCATGCGTGCCAGTAAAAAGAAATGAGGCAGTGCCCTTGGGTAGTGCCGCCAAAAGCGGTCCACTGTGATTAAATCAAATAACGCACACCAGTTTTAACAGTGTGATTGGATAATAGAGTGATGCAGTTAAGGTACTTTGCAAATACTGAAATTTGTAGCTGTCCTTTTGTCTCATTTTAACCTGTTCTAACATTTATCAGCCTTTTACAATGGGACCTGCTATCATTTATGTGCTCATGATCCAAGTATTGACTGACACAATCTAAACCTCGCCTTGTCTGTTTAGCTTGACTTTATGCCAAATTGTTTTTTGTTTTTTTAAGAGGAAGCATCTTGAAGAAAAAGTTATTCTGTTTGGAGAAGGTGTCACATAGCTATCTGAGCACATGTCTTCCATCAGATCCAGGGGAAAGAGCCCACAAAAGAAAAGAGAGAGCATAAATAGTGTTAGATAAGATGAAAGCAGAATAAAACAGAAACAGACGGGGTGGCAGGTGACAGGCGGTCCTAGGAGAAAATAAAATGAAAAAACAAGTTGCACAATAAAGTCCAGGTGAGCAGCAGACATGAATATAAAAATAGAGATGCCAAGGAGAAGCAGAGTTGGTGGATTGAGGAGAGAAGTTAGTAAACAGCAGGAAGCATAGGAGGAAATGGAGGGAGAAATTAAGAAGACCAGATGGAAAAGTAGCATCACACAGAGAGTGGAACAGATGGGAATGTAAAGGCAAGAGACTCAAGAACACTGTGGAGAAATATCAATTAAAAAAGACAACCGTCACATTCTCCCCTTGGTTGGTTCTTTTTAAGTTTTTCTTCCATGATTGTTCAGTTCTCATAGGAATCTGCATTACCATCCAGTGCTTGAAAGAAATTTGAGAGCTGATTTGCCAAAATCAAATCATGGGGTGGAAAAATGCAGTTATAGTTGGCTTGGGAAGAAGGTAAGATGGCGGGATGGACATTGAGGGGCTTGTCCAACAGCAGCAGGCAGTGGGGTGTCAACCTACTAAGCCTCTTTATAGCCCCTTCTCCATTGCCTGGTACCAGCTGAACTTGACTCGACTTAGCTCTACTCACTTTTGGTACCGGGTGCTTAGTTTTCCAGATGGTCCCCTCTCAGTGCAGCTGGTTGTCATAGCGACACTGCATTACATTGCTGTGATGTCGTCAGTTGCCGACATAGTAACTGTAACGCAACTTTACAACAAATCAGCGAGATCAGTTTGTGTTCTGTTGCATGTGTGAGTATTTGTCCACTTAATGTGTCTGTGGCTAGTTTGTCTTACTTCTTAGTGACAAGATTCGCTCACAGTGGAAGAGTTAGGAGGCTGACTTGTTACTACATATGTCTGCGCCCTAAAGTTTGAGGTTTTCCAAGTCTGGTGCTGGCGTGCAGCCACTAAATTTCAGACTGATTTTAAACTGACCTCGAATGTTTTAACTGTATTGGTCTGTTGTCCATTTTTCTTGTCAGGTGACACTGTGCAGCTCATTACTAAATTGCTGTGCTGGCCCCCATGGCTTATTTAAATATCTAAATAAGGACAGGAGAGGCAGGTGGCTGTGCTGGCAATGATTATGTGTTTGAAGAATGTTGACATATATTTGTTATCTTTGTGTTGCAGACCCGGTGCCTCCCTGGTCAAACTGACTGAACACGTGCCTCCACCTCCTTAACAAGAACCATGACGGCCATCACCGCACCCCAGGACAAGTATGAAAAACTCTTTTTACAAGAAAGGGAACGGTTTTGTTGTTCATGCCTAGAAAAGGCATATTAGTGTCAGTGAGATGCTTTCATTTTCTGTTGAAGTGTGGGAAAAATGAGATTTGGATGAGACCCAGTGAATGCATTAATCTGAATTGTTAATATTAGGATGAATGACTTCATTCACTTTCATGTGAATTTCCTTTTGTCCCTCATTAACAGATACAAGGCAGTATGGATCATTTTCTTCATCCTGGGCTTGGGAACCCTCCTACCCTGGAATTTCTTCATGACAGCAACAATGGTAAATTCATCTCTTGAATGAGAATATTTGCAGGGAAATGCAGTTGACTCCTGGAAGACCAGATGCATGGACGTGTCAGGAAGAGCTCTGTTGGGGGTCGTGTAGTCAGTGAATTAAAAGATTGGACTCCACTTAGAGGGAGTTCATTGATCTTAGGGAGAACAAAGATTATTTGTTTGCATTTCCTTCCAAAACCACCCGGTTTCACTCAAGATGGCTGACCTGACTCCAGCTGGTGGATTTGCTTGGCAGTGGTATATCCTCTCTAATCTTTAGGTATCTTTTTTTAAGCTTCCAGGGGTTAACTTCTTAACATGTAGCATTTCATTTTCGTTATACTGGGGGAGGTAAGGGAGGACCCAGCCATGGGGGAATTTCTGTTGGGGTTCAAATATTTTATAGTGTTTCTTTGTTTTGACAAAATAAAGTTGGAAGCTGTTTTAAAAAGAGCACTCAGAGAGCACATGTACCTCCGCCAAGGCACAACTCACTCACGCAAATGAGTCCCTTGTGTAAAATGAGATCCAGATCAACACAAAACATGTCCTAAAATTCTTAATCAAGATCAGATCAGGATCATCTTTTAGGGTATGATAGGCAGTCGTACTGTGCATCTTAGCTGAACATTTCAGGGTTCCAGCTTCATTATAGGCCAAGATATGGCAGAAAATCTGTTAAATGGGATTTTCAATGTTAACTTTAAATGGCCATCAGAGCCAGAATCCAGATCAGAACCGGAATATATTTGATCTGGTGATAGAAGTTGTCAACTCTACATATGTGTGTCACATTTCAAACAAATGATTTTGATCATTTTTGCCAGCAAAATAAATTTTCCCCCATGTCAAAGATGGGAATTTTGTGTGTGTGTGTGTGTGTGTGTGTTTTTTTTTTTTTTTTTTTTTTTTTTTGTGGCTTTTATCTCTGACTGTTTTCAGCCAAAATCTGATCACTTTTAGGCTCAGTCCCCACCTGTGTATGTGCCAAGTATGACCATGATCCGGTCATTTGGCTGTAATTCTGCTAAGCAACACACGCACACAGAACCAGAAACATAGCCTCTTTGTCAGAGGTAATGAATATAGCTGTACTGTTTCTGAATGATAAACAAATAAGGCAGTCTGTAAATGCAGAATTTGAAGCCTGGCAATGAGCCACATCTACAACTGTAGCACGTGAACTCTGCCAATCAACTTTGTTTAGTTTAGTTTTGTAACTTGAGTATGTTTTATTTGTGCATGATTCAGGTTCCAAAGATGTTTTATACAAGCAACCTCCCATCTTTGTCTTATTACTAGACACTCAGCTGAGACTAATGCAGTCAAATGCAACGAATCCTACATTAAATCATACTTTTAAGGCTCAGTTGTTATTGAAACTGGTTTAGTGAGGACTTTTATTGTCTGCAGTGTTACAGAAAAAACAAACTTTGTGCCTCTTATATCTATGAAAATCACATTCATATGACACAAATGTAATAATTAAATTATCACACAATGCAACTGTTAATGTTAGGTTTTGATTGATTGATTTATTCTTTCAAACATGCAGAACAGAACAATGAACAAATGACAATAACACACATGATTACACACATCCAACCAATGCTAATTCAAAATCAGTTTGCTTACACCTATTACATGTTTGAATGGAGTAGGAAGAAGTCAAACTTATCCAGTCCTACCCCATGACATCATATTATACAAAATTTATGCAACATTGGCTGCAAGCAATATCACTACATAAATAAAACAGATTGTTCTTATTCTTGCATATATCTTGTATAGCACATACATTTATATTTATATATATAGGTTGCTAGTGTTGATATCTGTCACAATAACTGTGTATTCCTCAATCATTTCTCTCCAGTACTTCACCAACAGGCTGAAGGACCCACCCGCCCACCTCTCCTCCAATCAGACGGCTAATGCGACTTTGACGGGCGGTGATACTCGCAGTGTGCTGGAGGCAAAGTTTAACAATGTGATGACACTGTGTGCCATGCTGCCTCTGCTCATCTTCACCTGTCTCAACTCCTTCCTACACCAGAGGTATCTACACTGCTGCAAACTGACACACACACAAAAACTCAACCTGAATCAGGTTTACTTCTCTAGCCACAGCAAACAAAGCGTTAGCATCTTCAGTCAATTTGTCATCCTGTTGAGACAAAATGATCAAAATCCATTATTTATTAATACAAAGTTAATCTCCTTTACATCTGACTGCTTTCCTTCCACATTGTCTGCTCTTTTTCTCTCCTGCTGACCCTCTGCTCCTCAGTATACTCACTTTATTTCCACAGTCCTTTTTTCCATTTTCTCCTCTTTTTTCTTGTTTCCTTGATTTATGATGGATAAAGATCATCACAAATAAACCTAAAACAGTTTTTTAATTTTGTTTCGCAATAACCCTCATTCTCTCATGATTTAAAAGTGTTTGTTTCCTGTTATGACAATGAGTCATAACCTTTACTGCCATATTCCCCTCTTGTCTTTCTTTTGTCACATCTAAAACCAAATGCTGTTTTTCTCCTGCTGGTCTGTTATATGAGAAATACAAGTGGTTGGACATTTGTTTACTTTTGTTACTATTATTATATTTACATACATTTTTTTTTTACAATTATTTACTATTATATTATTTACTCTTTGTACTATTTTATTTACTGTATTGTTTATTTAGTTTTCATTTATGTTGTAATTTACTTTTAATATCAGATTTTTTTTTTACCCAGCATTTATTATTATTCATATTAACTTGTAGTGTCATGAAATGGATGTGGCTAATGTTCATGACTGCTGGTTTGAATTGGTTATGTAGTCGTGGATTTTTAAGTGTCATGTCTCTGTGTTGTTTTCACTCTGTGTGTCAGGATTCCTCAGAAACTGCGAATCTCTGGCAGCCTGACAGTCATCCTGGTGGTTTTCCTCCTGACAGCGGTGTTCGTCAAGGTGGACATGGCCCCACTGCCGTTCTTCACCATCACTATGATCAAAATTATCTGCATCAACTGTGAGTTTTGAAATTCAAAAGTAATAATAATTCAATGATCCTTTAGTAGGGA